GGAGGAGGTAGTAGTGGAGAAGCAAGCAATTCAGGGTGCTACTGCTGTGGCGGCTTTGCCTGCATTTCCGAGGCTTCGACGTTGGGAGAGGCAGCTAGGGCTGGAAAAGCGGAGAGCTGTGCACGGCTCCATCTCCCTTTCCTTTCCTGCCTGCACGTGGGTGGTGGGGAGGGAAGAGAGAGAGCTGGGAGCAATTCAAAGCTAGAAAACTAATGGGGGGAGCTGACAGCGGGCGCTGGGGGGACTGTTATTGCCGCCGCCACCGTGTGTGCAAGTGGGAGGCACAGGAACTGCAAGTGTGAGCATTTGATGATTTTGAAGAACTTCTGGAACAAGGTAGATTGGCGTTTTGTAGGTCTCAGTGAAAGAGTGAGCTTTGTTTCATCTCCTTTCCTCCCCTGGTAATGTGAGAGATGCTTTCTCTCTCCTCCCCGCCCCCAAATAACCACTGGCTGTGGCTGGGTTTGGCAGTGAAGTGCTAAAGCGACCGAAGTGCCGCCAGGGACACCTTTCCTTGCCTGTCTCCAGGTGATGCTGGAAGAGCCCTCCCCAGCTTTTCCTCGGCTGCAGATCTGAGCCTCTCAATCCTCCACCCAGGATCTGAAAGGAGCTCCCACTTTCTCCCCCCCTCCCCCAATTAATCACCAAGAGCGGCAGTCCTTCTGCAGGCAGATGCCTGCTGAGAAGCCCCTGGAGTGGCAGCCAAGGGGCGCTGCCCCCCAAGGAGAGCAAAGCCCCATTTCTGCCTCTGCTTCTCCCAGCGGCAGTTGCCAAGAGGTCCCTCAGCTCAGACACACACACACACACACACCGCCCGCTCTTCTGTCTCTTTGGAAGGTGACAGGTGGGGGGAGGCTTCCAGCCTGGAACGTTTTATTTTGTTATCATTAAGCATTTACATTTTTGTTATAATTAAATGTGTATGTGTGTGTTTGTGTATCATGTATGTATGTGTATGTATATGTTTGTGTACATATATATATAGAGAGATAGAGAGATAGATAGATAGATTTTCTTAAGTTTTCACAGGTACTTACATGTATGGAATTCAGCTTTGTTCGGGTATTTTCCCATGTCATTATAGTTGTGCTTTTAAAGTTGTAGCAACGTTTCGGCAGAATCTCATCTGCCATCATCAGATGAACACAATACAGATGGCAGATGAGATTCTGCCGAAACGTTGCTACAACTTTAAAAGCACAACTACAATGATGTGGGAAAATACCCGAACAAAGCTGAATAACATACATGTAAGTACCCACGAAAACTTTATTTATTTATTTATTTATTAATTTATTTTATGTATATATGTATATATGTATATATGTATATGTATATGTGTATATGTATATGTGTATATATATATATATATATATATATATATATATAAATTTTATATTTTATATTTAACATAAAAAATATATTAAATATATTAGCTTTTTTAAAAAATTCATATTAGTGGTCCTCGGGATTTAAAAGTATGAGTTTGGTGGTCCCTGAGATCCAAAAGGTTGGCGACCCCTGCACTAGAATACCTCCAAGGTGTCTTCCAACTCTTGTTAGTCTGATAATTATTATTTATTTCCTCTTTAAAAGCAGCTATTCCATGTTACTTGAAACATTGTATCTAAATATGCTACATCTGTGCCAATTTCTGAAAAAAGCCCAATTTCCTGAAATCTTTCTCCAGATGCATACTTATAGGAGTATGAAAGGGATATTTTCACTTTCTAAATAAAGATTTTGCCAGTAGATTATTATTAATGATTCTTATTAATGATTGCATGCTTTATTTGTACTCTTCCTTCCTTCAGTATTTGATATTTACTGTACAAAACAATGTTTCCATAGATATACCATTGTAAAACCATGTTAAATCAAGAGAAAAGACAGTTGTTTTTTTTAACTGCCCTCAAAACATTGCTATTTGGATTGCATTTTTTCTATGAATTGAAATCCATAGAAAAATAATCAAACATTACTTTTTATTTCCCTAACATAAATTTACTTATAAAAGGTATGCAACGTTTGCTTCAGGGTATCAAATCTGCAATAAAAACTAATCATCCATTACACAAGAACAAAACAGTACAGATCAGTGAATGATCTACTCAAAGTATCTTTAAATTCTGAAGCAGTGAATACATAGTTATTTTCCTCAAAGTTTATTTTGGAAAAAGAAAAAGAAAAGCAGGTTTAGACAAATGATTGTTACCTCTATTTTGAATAAGTATACACTGACAGAATCACATTACACTTGGTTTTTCTTTTTTATATTCTGTGGGGAAACATTTCATATAACACATTTTTCTGTGAGTTGAGCTACAGAGGGAACCACATTTTTGTTGAATGTGTCCATCTCCAGCATGATAATTATAACAGAAGGTGAAAACAGCTAGCATATACTAAGTGATAACCTCCTGCCATATCTAATTATACCAAGCCATGAAAAATCTTGTAGAAACGTCCCATAAAATTTCCATTTTATGCAATGCAAAGCAAGGCTGAATAGACTTTCAATAATAAAATCAAATACCTTATGAAGTTATCTGTGTATACTGTGAAATAAATTACTATTAGTAAAGGATTATCAGTGTTCAGCAACAGAAAATATCCTACCAGAAAACAAATCGGTAGGTAAATCAAGTAGATACCTTTGATTGATTGAACAGCACACGGTTATTGAACTAGATGTTATAACAACTTGCAATGTAGTATAACTTGTGGTTGGTAGGGGAGGGTCATATGACTTAATACCTGTCTACTATTAAAAAATGTAATGTCTCCTTCAAACTGAGCTCATTTTCTAGTGAATTATTTTATACTTTCACATGCTTTTCTTAGCCTTAAAAAAGGTTTGCCACAGCCTTCTTCAATTTCTAGACAACCCTAAGATTTTAGGCTAGATTGAGAAATCTCCCATCTCCTTGTTGGAGCCTAGACAAGAGCAAATATCCTAGTAATGTATTTCAACAGTGATATATCTGAGGAAACATAGAAGCTATGCACAGCTTCTTCCTCTATAAACTTTCCCTTCAAGGTCTATTTTCTTTTATAAAGGTTTTATAAAAAAAAACACCTTATAGCACCACCTGAACTATATTATACTATAGAATCTATTAGTTTTTTTTCAATTATACATAATCTCATCATTTCAGCAACACAATACTTCCTAGAGTAATAAGAAAAGTATTGTTATACTTACTTTTTAAAGTTAAGGAAAAATACATTAATTACTTTTCAGAGAGATCCAAAATGTTTTGATTCTCAAATCCTTAATTTATAAGAGGCTAGCATAAAGACAATGGCAAATTCTTTTTATTTTGCTTATTATTGTTCAGCTATTTTGAATGAGAACCTTTGCTAAAAGTTACCTTTTATCCATCCCCCTGAGGGAATCAGGAAATTATTTTTTATATAATTTAATATTGTTCTCCTGTGCATAAACATTGTTCTGCTGTGCATAAACATGGAAATATGGTACCTGGATTAATTCATTAGTTGAAGTTGAATTAATGATGGCTTAGCAGTCTATATATATTTTACACATAAACTGCTGCACAGTAGGGTCATAAATGCTATGAAACAATTCAGAAGTAGTGCTTTGTAACCCACACAAGCATAGTATCTGTCATTAAAGCAGCCCCCTTCTATTTCTTAAAAAAGTGGGGCAGCTTTAATGAAAACTAGAGCTGTACTATCCTCATGTAAGATTCAAACTATGTTTTGTAAATCATTTTTGAAACATGCATAGCTTATCACACATGAACTTCTGCAGCTTAGTTCCTCACCAAAGTATCAGGTTACAGTTTTCATAATTTTCAGCTCCTTTGTAGTCTCACTCATATGGAGGACATTAATGTCAGGAATACTGACCTTACACACAGATTTTTTAAAGTAGTACAAGGGGAAACATGTTTGAAAAAAATAAAACTACATACTCAGTTTTCACCATTAAATAAGGATCAGGGTCCTTACTTTCTATCTCAAGTAAGAAAGATACCGTAAGAAGTTAAGAATGTTAGTTTGACACATAGGTTTATGATCTAACCCACAATGTAATGTCTATTTAGTACAGGTGACTAACAATGATAGAGAAGGGAAGGGACTGTTTTTGTGAGTTGCAAACTTTAGTGCTTCCATAAGGAATGTCCATTTTTAATTAAGCACTATGTAATCATTACAAAATTCAAAAAGACAAATAGGATATGTAGATTATTTATCCCCAGCAACCTGAATTACCTTTTTTTTTACTTCACTAAATATTGTACACAAGTGCAAAGGTGAACTTTCTTCCCAGTGGCAAACTGTGTGATGGCTGACGAATTAACTTGAAATGTTATTTTTAATTAATTAATGAGGCTATGGGGGTTATTAACTCTAGCAATACCTATAAGTGTTTAGTCACCACTGAATATGATGTACTAAGCATTTACAAAACAGTAAAGCTAAGTTTTAATACATTAATTACTTTTAATCACTGGGACTTGTGTATATTAACTAACAAAAACATCTCCAAATACAACACTGCATTAAGGCACAGCCAACGCTTGCCACTAAAACGTCTGCTTCTTGATGGCACTGTCCATGCCTTTAAAAAAAAAAAAAAATCCCCAAAACACCAACACGAAGCAGTGACCAAGCAGTTTTAAGTCCCACATTAAAAGGGCTTGCTAGCAATCCCTTCCTTACAGGCGATCGCTAGTACTAAAGACATTCAGCCAGTGGCAAGAACCTGCAAGTTGTCCTGTTGAGGTAAACCGCAGCCATCGCCACTTCATTTCTCATCCCTTCCCCCCCACCACCACCCGGAACCCTTTGTATACTCAATTGTTCCCTCAGAGTCAATTGGTAGCATAATCCTATTCTCCGGGCGGATCACAACAAAAACAACAGTAACAACAAAAACTCTAGGAAACACGCCTCGTCCAGGGGCACCTCTTCCGCTTCGACAAGGTACGCAGCAGTGCACATCGGTTCGTGCAGCTCTCGCCCCTTACCTTAGTGATGATCAGAGGTTCTCCATGTTCTCTGCCTCCTTTTAACGTAAATCCCCAAGGAGCTCCGCCACTCAATTGTACTTCCACCAGCTTGTACGGATCAGCTCCTCTCTGCTCTCCCGTCGCCAGCTGGTGGGGGTGTCCCTGATCCATAAATACTGCCGGATTCAGCCTTGGATCTTTGTCAGGACCTCTTTCCTGTCCGCCTCTTAAGTCCATATTCTCTCGAAACTGCCCCCCCAACCCACCTCCAGTTTCTTCCTAGTTTGATCCCACGCGCCGCTGACCAAGGAACCACATACCTCCCAGCAGTGTTTCAGGCTGCTCCCAGATGGGAAGGGAGGGGGATTGTAAACCCCTTCCACACCCTGGCTCCTCCTCCTCCTCCTCCAGAGTTCAGGCTCCCTCTTTTTTTCTTTCTTTCTTTCTTTGAAAGAGAAGCCCAAATCAGCCGAAGGGGAAAAAGCGAGCGAGCAAGCAAACGACCTCAGGAAATTAGACTCGCTCGGCTGGACGAGGTGCAATTCCCTCCAAGCATAAAGTATTTATTCGCGCTTTTTCATGGCTGTTGGCTTAGTTGCTTTTGCGCGCGCCTGTTAATATGTTCACGGAAACAAACCGCGGCTGTTTTCCCTCGGGGAAATGCCGGAGAGCGGAGCCCGAAGAGAAACCAAGCAAGTCACTGAGGGCATTTACCGCTTTCTCCAGAAGGTGATACGAGCTTCCGTTTCGGGTGGGAAGGAGTGGGGAGGCTCTTCCCAGCAGGAAAAGGGGTGGTTTGAAACATTGAGGGTGCGGGGAGGGGGATGTTCAAAAAAAAAAAAAAAGGAAATCTCGACCTGGAGAACCGTCCGACTCTCCAAAGGAGCAGCGAAAAGTTTTCTCCCAACGTTTAGGGGAAAATCGCGAGCGGCGTCGCCCTCACAACGGGAATATAACGCCTTTCCACTGGGGATGGTGGCCAACCTTTCAGAAAACTTCTCCGTTGAGCGCGGTGTTCTTGGAAGCGGCCCCGTTGGAGCCAGAGGGGTTTTTATACGAGGAAAAGAACTGCAAAAACAGTAAACGTGACGGTCCCAAGGCGCCGAGGAAACGAGAGGCTTGAGCCACGGCAACGAAAGGAAAAAATAAATAAATAAATATATAAATAAAAGCAACCCTCCCTCTTTCCCCTTCCAGGTTTTCTGAAAAAGCAGGCAGCGCCGGTTCCTTCCGGCTCCTTGGCCGCAGGGTTTCACAGGGGCCCTTCCCCCCCCCCGCCCCACCTCTCCCTCCGCTTTGCCGAGGAGGACACGCACAACAGGCGCCTTCTCTGGCTGGCTCAAGGAGGCTTTTGTGTCGGAGGGCGACGAAAAGTTCGCCCAGCGGCCTTCCAAGAGGCCCCGCGGCGTGGGCGTTTCAGCGGCCCAGAGGAAGGCAGGAAACGCCGCCGCCGCCGCCGCCGCCTGCAGGATCTCACAGCACGAAAAAGTTCCGGCATTTTCCTTGCGGTGGGTAAGAGAGGCGCGAGCTACCTGCGAAGCGCCTGGGAGGCGGCATTTTTATCGTCAGGGGCCCCCTAGCGGCGGCTGAGGGAAAGAACAGCGGAGAGTAGCTTCGCCTTCCACTCAAAGCGCTGCTGCAGACTGCCTAGTCGAAATCCGAGCTTAGCGGGGACTAAAGGCGACAATTTCCCGAGCGGCTGTGCAAAAGCCCTGAACAGAATTGGAAATTCCTTAGTGTAGTGCAGGGGATCTGCAAGCTTAGCAACTTTTAAGACGTGTGGACTTCAGCTACCAGAATTCACCAGCCAGCACGGTATCATCTTAACCATCTAGTCTAGTGGGTCATTGAGTTCTAGCCCCGCCTTAGATATGAAAGCCGGCTGGGTGACTTTGTCTCAACCCAACCCATCAGCTCAGCCCAGTCACACTGTCTCAGCCCAACCCATTATACAAAGTTGGTTGTTGGGGGGGTGGGGAATAGGAGGAGGAAGGAGCATTGTGAGTGTTCACCGCCTTGAGTTATTTATAACAGTAATAAAGGTGGAATAAAATAATGTGTATCTTTCTTAAAACCGTATACTACACCTACAGCGTCAAGTCACTGATTAAAATATCTGGCTAGAAACCAGGAGATTGTGAAGTCCTATCTTGCCACAAAGGGAGCTGGGAAATCTTGGGCCAGTCATTCTCTTAGCCCTAGGAAGAAAACAATGGCAAATGCAAATCACTTCCAAAATCCTGCCAGAGAAACTGCAGGGATTTACCAAGACTGAGTTAAAGGCATTAAAATGTTACATTAACTCTCCCTTTGTTCAATTAATGTTCAGTAGGTAGAAACTTACTGTTTTACAAATGAGGGCAAATTCTCACAGCATCTCTGCCCTGCTCTGTGGAGAACTTCCATGGTGGTACACTGCAAACTATTGCCATCCAGGAATGCACATTGTGTGTTGTGCTTTAGGATCTGGAATCCATCAAAAGGCCAAGACTCCAAATAGAAAAGGCAGGGCTACCATGTATGCGGAATACATGTCAACACTGCACAAAGATGCCCATTCCTCTTGCCTGCAGCCACTTGGTAGGGGGCGTGCATAAGCGCACCAACGTGCTTACCGTCCCTGTCCTATTGTTTCTTTTTTTTTCTTTCTTTTTTAAATAAAGTTTTATGTGGGTTTTCACACACAAAATACAAGTAAAACATCTTTTTTGAAAATAGCATGGTCCTGGGTTGAACTTCTTTATACAGGCACAAAACTCAATTTCATGCTCCTTTTTGTATTCTATTCCATATCTTATACTATTTTACATTTTCTATATAGTTTTTCCCCTCTTTTAATTTTCTCAATTTTATTTTGATTATCTCATCTCAATTCAAATCATTATATTTATACTTTTGTCTGTTCTTTTTCAATTTCATATTATCTTTTCTCATTAAACAAATTTTCTCCTGTAGTTACTAATTGGAGTATGACACCTTTATATCTTTTAATTACATCCATTCAACTCTTATCTAAACTTCAATATATACCTTAAGTTTATGACCTTCAATATAATACATAATACATAACTTCCAATCAAATTCTGCTTGGTACATTCTTATAATACACACTATATTCTTTAAAAAGAAAGAAAGATTGTAAATATATGTAATTATAAACCCTCATTCCATTCCAGTTCAGTTCTATCATTAATCATTAAAATCTTAACATCTTTAACACTTCTTTTCAATTAAATATCATACTTCCTTAAAAACACATATAATCTCCATAATTAATTTTTCCCTTATTTCTCTTCACATATGTTTTATAAATCATTAAATATACCTTTTGTTACATTTATTTATTGACAAGCATTCCACTGAATTACGATAGCTATTTTATCAGACATTTTAATCATACATTGTTTCATATTTTCTAAAATTATTTCTGTTTCTAATATAACCATACTATCTTATGTACCTTTGCAGAATCCCTTTTTCCATTAAGTTTTCACCCATTATCTCTAACTAGGCCCTGTTTCTCTATATTTTGCTTCTGTCCTTTATAACTTCTTTTCCTTTCTTTCTTCCCTCTCATCTTCTCCCTCCCCTTTTTACCCCCTTGTCTCTCTAGTTCTAATTCTCTCTTCTGCATTTCCCTCTTCTGTTGCTTTCTGATTTTATACTTATTTTTCACTCTATTTTTTTTTTTTTTTTTGGAGTTGTTTTTCCCAATCTTAAACTTTCCATTCTCTTTCTCCCCTTTCCTTTTTTTCCCCCCATCTAAGATTACTTGTTCATTAAAGATGGCTTCTTCTTTGTCGCAATCTTCTTGTTCTGCAGGCATTTCTTCTTGTTTCTCATAGTTCCAAATCTCCATTTCTGAAAACTGAAATACGAAGCCAAAAGAACCTCTCCCTTCTTGTGCATCTTCTTTGTACTTTTTAAGTTCCATTTTCAGTTCTTCTAAAAGTGGAGCCATTTTAAACAGTTTTAAACAACCACCCGATTGATTTTAGTCATTCAAAACAATAACCAAGAATCCAGAAATCATCAAGTAATCCAGATAGTCCCGAGTTATATCTTCTTATTTCTTTTTCGACTTTCTCTTCCTGGGGTTTTTGTTGTGATATTTTGGTTAGAATGTATCTTTCGGAAGTCTTGTTGAGATTTTGCTGTAAGTTCTTTTTTAATTCCAGGCAGTCTCCTCCCTTCCAGATCCTGCCCTTTTATTCTTTTTCTCTCCTTTCCTGTTTTCAAAAGCTTTTAATTATCCAGAAATCTTTATTATCCCTTTGACTTTTTATTTTCAGCATTAAATGCCTATTGATGTTAAAGTGGATTTTTTTCCAATTTCTTGCTTAAGTCTCTTAGCTGTCAGTATAGGAAAAGGAGAAAACCAAATCTTTTCCCTTTTCTCTCTCCTTTGCAGCTTAAAAATCTTCTTAGGGAACAATGTTATTGTTTTTTAAGAGTTTCAATTCCAGGGTACCTTATTTGTTGCTTTTGCTGTTTGACCCGGTCAACCAAAACTTTCTCTTCTTATCTTCCTCTTGCACATTCTTTTCTGATCGAGTTCTTCTTTGTGGTGGCCATTTCTGACCACCGCTGCAACTGCCTTCGGGAAAGGGAGTAATGGCCAGCTGGGGAGGAGAGATGCGGCTCTCTTCACCACCTCTACGGGGTGGCTTAGCCCCGAAACCAGACGGCTCGGGGCGCTCCAGCAGTGAGCACGGATTGAAGCCTCGCAGAGACGAGGTTTCGGTCTGTCGCTGAAGAAGCTCAAACTGGAATCCGTTTCTTTTATTTTTCTTATATGTATCCATGTCTTCATAACTATGTTTTTACTTATACCTATTATCTTGTAAGCAATTGACAAACCAAATAAAAAAAATATGAACAAAGTCTCGGTCCTGGCCATCACTAGATAACAGCCTCTCTATTATGACATCTGTTGGCTTGGTCTTTGTCATGTCATAGTGACATTGTTCAGCCTTGCTGAGGCAACATGTACCATACAAAATCACAAATGCATTTGAGTTATCTGGTAATTCATTCCTCCATTTCTGTCAATACAGTAATACCAGGACTGCTTTGCAATTGCCGCTTCCTAAAAAATCAAGGTGTCCCATTGCCATCTGTTTCGACTGCTATTCTATACAGTGAGTGCTAAGAATAATTGGAATGGATTCTGACTCTCAGCAGAGAACCAATCTGTGGTGGGATTGCTGCAGCTACACATTGCTGGATACCACTAAGTGACTGGACCTGACTGAAGGAGGAGAATTATTGCTCTTCTGTACTTGCTGTGATACCTAGAACAAAAACCAGGATCTCCACACTCTTAAGGATGGCAATCCTGTGGTGAGCTTGTGTGCATGGGAATTACAAGAGAAATCCATCAGAAGTACCAATGGTGGTTATATCCTGCATTAACAAAATAGCAGAATGAATTTCATTGAGGTAGTCATGAAGCAAAGGAATGAGCAAATATGAAAGGCTGGGATTTATATTATGAAACACACATTGTGTAATTTTTTTATTTGCTGTTGCTATTTGTGCTAGATGCTAATAAATGTTGCACTGTGAAAGATGGTCTTCTTAAATTATGTCAGTTATGTCTGACAAACCCTAACCCTCTGCTAAAAGAAAGTAATGTCCAATTAATTTGAATCATTAAAAAACCAACAAATCCATAGTTAAAGGAAGCATGTAAAACATGCACGTGTTTTTTTACTCTTGAGGGTATCAAAACTTTCCAGAAGCAAATATCAG